CTGAGCAGCTCCTCTTCTGGGTTGCGGTCCAGATAAGCGCGTGCATGCACTCCCGTTTCAGCACTCAGTGCTAAAAAGGTTTGCTATCATTGCACTAGTGGAAATTGTAAGCCAAATACCTGGACAGGGCTAGGTTGGACAAAGTCTGTTTTAGGCTATCAAGAGAAGGATGAATTCTTGTATCCTGTGAAAGCTGAAGGTGAAAACGCTTATGTCATCTCAAATAGCAACAACCAAAATCCATATGAAACCAGTTTACCATGATAAAAAGAATGTAATGATTAGTTGTGCTTTCTCAAACAAGATGGTGACTGGGAAATGATGGAACACTGGGAATTATTATATTTACTATATTTCTTCAGAAAAGACATCACCACAGAGTGTGTGTGTGTGAACTAAAAACTAAGGGTTTGGGGCAAAAAGACCTTATTGTTTTTGCAGGAAAGTGGTCCCTCTCTAGTGAAGTCTTGTGTATGTAGTGGATGTTTTTGGATTTTACAAAAAGCAAGGACCTGAATGGGTAAGGTATTTATTCCCAAAAGGGAACATCAATAATATTATAGGCAAGGTTCTTAGTACTACAATCAAGCCCATACAATGGAGCTTCAAATAAAACTCTCAGTGATCCTCCACCATTGCCATTATGGGGCAGATGGGACTCTTCATTCAAACAACATTCAGAGATGTCCACAGGATGGGAACAAAACATCAAGATGGTCATCCCAACCATGTGATCAAAACACCTTCCTTTTTTTTTTTTACAATGTATGAAAAAAAGCTTGGGGCTTTGATTGTATGGTTGTGGCTTCCATTTTGACTTTGACTCCCTTTGTGCAGATACCCCTAAAAACATTTCAAGAGTCACAGGTTCCCTTTCTATTCTTTACCACTTTTTTGGGGGAAATGTTCCTCAAAAGGGACACAAACCGTGGCTCTAACCCAGGTGTTGGTGCAGCGTATACCCGTATCTTCCTATGGGGTCTGTTTGGTTTGTAGAGGTGCCTCAAGTCAATTACCTTTTATAATAATGTTCCTGTTCTGCCAAGAGGCGTCTAGACAAAAATGCATTTATTTATTAAACAGTCTTTCTTTTCCTCTCTATATAAATGGTACCCAAGGCACTTATTCATATCAATTGTGATACGGCTGTGATGTGATGGAACCGAAATATTTCAGATACTTATTCCATTTGAGAAGTTCAGGGCAATTTGGCTGAGATACAAACTGGAAAATGTTCAGTGCAAAGGCTACCCTTGAAAAGAACAATCCCTGGAAATGTTTTGCTAACTGCAGAATTTTTACGGGGAGACAGGGAGAGGGATAGCAAGTCTGTGACTGAGAGAAAAGGACTGCCTCAAGTGGAAAGGTGATTTGCGTCTCACATTTAAACTCTCTTAAGAGGAAAGGAATCTCTGGGGAGCTTTATGCACGAGTGAGGCATTCTCGGGGGATATGGGTCATGCTAGTAGATATACACAGGAAGATTATTTGACTCCAATTCATGCCACTTGATATAATGTGATAAAACATTTGACATGGGAGATAAGTTCCATTTTAATCTTGAGGAGAGGGGGGGGAAAGGAGGACTGAACAAAGAGAATTATGCAGTTGGAAGAGGCTTCAGTGGGAAGGAAAATGGGAATAAAGACGAGAATCAATCATAAGAGGAATTGGGAAAATCTGGGGAAGGCGGACACGGCAGACAAACAGCTTTTCAATCCAATGTAAGCAAGAAAACAGGTAAAACAAACCTGCAGAGAATCTGAATTGGGATACCAGAACACAGGGGAGGGCAGAGAACTTAGAGCACGGATAGCAAAGACAAAGGCAGCTGTTGTACAATTACATAAACACATACACAAAGAATCATGCATACCTAACAAGTGACCGGAGCAAGAATATTAAGCACCTGCTGTAAGTTGGAATGCTAGGCTATACAATTACTGTCAGGACAAAAAGAATTTATTCTAGAGGTTAAAAAAAAAAGCATCAGAAAGGTGAAGGAACTGTGAGATGTATGACATTCAAATAAAATCGTAGTTAATTCTTTAAAACAATTGGGTGCTACATCCTCTTTCATAGTTGGAATCACATCCAATCTCAGAATTAACCTTATTTATTCGGATTGGAAAATGGATACAGAAACCTTCCAATATTTTCAAACTATTTTTTTTTTATTTTCGAAAAAATGGGCCAAATCAGGGTTATAGTTGGTGGTCCTTCAGTAAAAAGTTTTACTTGCCATCGGAGGGTCATCTTCTCTCCCAGTTGGGGAAAAAGACTTTAAGGCTAAGAAAATATGGCTGATACATTCTTACTTCAAAGTGATAAGCATTGATTTAAGGTGCTCTTATCCTAAAATCTAAACAGAGGGAAAGTGAGTCAAAGTAGCTTGGCGTAAGGCATTAGAGCAGACAAGTAGCAGATAAGTTGAGTATCATTCAGAAAAAAAGGGGGGAGGGAACAGAAATTTCCTTCAAAAATAAAAGAGAAAACAACAACAAAAAAAGGAAAAAAAAGAGACTACTATCATTGATCATTTCTCTCAAAATGTGACTTATCCTCCTGTCTCATTTTGTCACATTTTGTAGCTCCCCCTCTTGGATCTCCAAGGAGGAGGGGGCATTTACTTACATCAAATAACCTTTCTATATACATCTCCTCATTGACCTTATCACGCAGAATGTCCTGAGAATGGCGAACGAAGGTCACGTAGGCATCAGCAACGTCCATCCCTGGTTTCTGTACAGAGAAAAAGAGTGAGAAGGAGAGAAAATTAAAAAGGAACAAGGAGGGGAGAAGCATAAACATGGCATATCCTCAAGACAATCTGTTTGTTCAGTGGTGAGCATCTTCCACTATATTCTCCTTCTTCTATTTCTCTTCACATTACAGCTGAGGGACCTATTCTAGTTGACACACTTAGACTTATTTGGAAATCAGCAAAACCTTTCAACTGTGTGTAGCAGGTAACTAAAGCACCTAAGTATTGGTTTGCATAGCTCAAATATCTCTTTCTGTCTCTCTCTCTCAGTCCTTTCTTCTCTTCTTTACTTAATTAGCACAGTGTTTCTCAAAGTTAGTAACCTTAAGATTCATGGACTTCAACTCCCATAATTCCTCATCCATATAGCTGGCTCAGCCACCATAGCTAGCTGGGGAATTCTGGGAGTTGAAGTCCACACATCTTAATCTTCCCAAGATTGAGAAACACTGAATTAACACAACAACCATCCATGCGGCTTCACCATCACCTCTTTAGAATCCTCCAAGAAAATC